CTGCAGTATTGTTGTTCACACGACTCGTGCATGCGACAGTGTCTTGTTTTCCAGCTGTCTTCATAATCCAAGAATCACCTGCTGTTAACTTTTGTTATGATGTTGCCCAAATCAGAGCACACATTAACACTGCTATCGTTGCTGTGGCAAAGTTCACTGCTCCTCTCCTTACAATGCCCTGCCACCACTTGAAAAGTATCACGATGACAACTTTCGCCTTCATTATCAATACTATTTGATTAGGCTCATTGTCATTTTAGCTAGCTTCGCTTACCTCAACATCTGTATTGATCTCTTAGCTCAAGATCTCCGTCTTCCTCGCCAATCAATATTGTCATCGCAATCGCGATATCTATCGGCACAATCATTTTCGTCGCCATCTTTGATATCGGATTCATCATCTTCATTATGATGATCATCATGCTGGGCAGACCATCATCAATTCCAATATCAGACTATGATCATAGATATCACCATCAATATCCTTCGCTATCATTATCAACAACATGGACGTCAACTATTTCGGCAACAACAAACATGAACATCATTTTATATTAATGCCGACATTATCATGACCAAGAATAAAACCAATAATTTCTTGATCATTATTCTAACCTCCCACTAAGGTCAGAATAATATAAGATCATTTTTCAATATCATTAAGGCAAATACGAATACAAAAGAAATCTTTTAATTAGATAAGAATGAATATATAAAGAACAAATATCAAATAACAAATATAGAACAAATATAGAACAAATATAAATGATCATGAAAAATAAGAATCATAATCTAATTATCATGATTTATATAGAATAATCATTTGATGATAATATGAATATTGATATAAATATATATTCTATTTATTTATAATCAGATAATTAGATATATATACATAATAAATAGTTTTATATAGAAGTAATTTTCTTTCATAATTTTTTTAAGGAATTTTTATAGAATATACGAATTCTAGAATTGAAATTAATAAATTTTCTATTTAATAAATTTGATTTAATTAAGATATAATAAAGGATCGTTCTCATTAGATATTCGTTATATAGAAGAGATGATAACAATCTGGAATTCAAATTTGAAAAGATTAGGATTCGAATAAAAATTAAAATTCAAGAATTTCTCAAAGCAAAAAATTTAGATTCTAACTTCACGAAATTAATTAAAATACTATTATAAATAGAAAATCTTTTAACAATTATATTTTCTTATTGAAAATATTATTGATAATATTATGCCTTTTTTCGATTAGATTTTAAAATATGTTTTCTTATTGATTTTAAGATGAAGATTAAAGATTATAATTATAAGTTTTCGAATTACTTCTAGGGGATCTCGAAGCTACAGGTGAGGCGGCATCCGACTTCCACTCTTCCCAATTGTCTTCTTTAGAGTTTCCGCTCGAGTTGATCTCGAAAGTCACTACCGCGGCCTTCGCTGATCCCGAAGTCCGGAAGGGACTGAGGGGACGTGCCCTCCGCAGCTGGTCCTGGCCGCTACTCCGGCCGTGTCCGGCCAAGGCCGGTAGTTCCGGCCCTTCTTCCATGGAGGTTCCGATAGCGCGGCGGTCGCCGGTAGCGCTACCAATAAGATATTAGCCTATTCTCTAAATATAAGCGCTCCTAATATTCTTCTAGAGATAATATCAAAATTTGCCAGCATAATAGAAGAGAATATTCTGCTTTCGACTTCATAACTTATCTTTTCGACTTCATAACTTATCGCCAACGAAATTCGTAGCGACTCAAACTACAACGTCCCGGCGGACTTGAACGAAATCTTTAGCTTCGATTCCATTCATCTCAATTTGCCCCTTTTTATAAGATTAGAAAAAAAATATACGATTCTCAAGACCATACAATTGGTCACCCGAAGAGAATCAAGAAGTCGCCTCTATAATCTTATATTATATCATAGCGTATTTTATTATGACCATATTCTCTCGCATCGTTTTTACTTGCTCCTTTATCTCAAATGCTTCTAATCTTCAAATGACTCGCATTATATTGAGAGAATTTAATCCTATATATTATTTATATGAGATTCTTTATCATAACCAGAAAAATTTTTCCCGTAGAATTCATTTATAGTTTAATAAGAATAGAACTTTAGAAATAATGAATTTATTAAAAATATTAAAAATTTTCAAATTTCAAAATAAAAATATATATAGAGAAGAAAGTAAATATTCAAAATATTATCAGAAATATATATAAATGAAATCTCAAAATAATTTCGTAGCACGAGCTTATCTTAGAATTCTATAAGTTTAATATATTTTTCAATCGAATTCCAAATCAAATATCTTACTCTTTTTTTCATTCGAAATCCAAGACCTTATTCCCAGAATTCGGTCCAATTTCAATTCTAAATTCTGAAATAATAATTCATATAAAAACCAAATCCAATTCAAACCCAAAATATTAATCTATATTTCGACCGAATACTAAATCCTTAATTCGAACGAAATTCATATCCAAACTTAGATTATAAATCGATCGAAAATCTAATGTCTTAATAGTCAAATGAAATTTCATTTTTTCCTATAGATATAATTCATCAGAAGATATTTATATTCTCGACTGAATCGAGATTAAATTTATGAATCAACCATGATATCGAAAAAATAATTACCGAAAAATTTTTAAAATCATGAATATCTAAAAGTAATGCAATTAAATATCAATTTCATCCAAATTTCTATTAAAATATTCCAAGATCAAATTGGAAATATAAGATACTTCAACTATTAAAATAAATATGAAAATAATTTCATGCCTCGCTCTTATTATATTTCAACTATATCTTAAAATCAAGCAATCGAGATAAGAATTCATATCGTGAGGCTTTTTTGATTTAGTTTATAGTTTGTATAAATTTCTGTCGTCAATTTGGCTATGTTAAATTATCAATTCGGTGCCTGCGATATTATCAATTTGGGGCCTCTAAGTTATTAATTTGAAGTCGGAAGTCCCCTAGATTATCAATTTGGCGGCGCTAGATTATCAATGTAGAGCCAATCCCTAGTTTGTCAATCTCGGATTTGTCAATTAATTTGCAGCCCCTAGATAATTAATTTGGGTGTTGCCCAGGCTTCGGACCAAGATGGGGCGATGTCGCTGCAGGAACTCACTCAGGCCTGAGCGACCTTTTTATGTAAGTTCTATCGTTCTCAGCTTTAGAGCTGCATGTGCTGCAATGGCTAAGATGTATCTACTGCATGTACTTGGTTATCTACTGCATTTACTACTCCTGTGCTAGCTGCCGCTGACGTCAGTTTCCACAGCCCGCCATTTGGTCTTGCTCCACTGGGTCCATCACCCATTGCTTTCCTTGCGAATAAGTTTTTTCCTTGCGGACATACCAGTTCAACACCAAATGCTCGAAATCAGACAGTCGCCCCCGAATGCCCAAACAAAAGCAAGCTGGCCACGTGTGCTTGCTTCATGTGGGCAAGCTCGTACCTCTCTGCTTGGCCGAAACAAGGTCCGATCGCTTGCCCAACCTGGCAACAATGACTTCCTTCTTCGGCAACTTCGTTTCGAACAGCTTCAGCTTGGCCAGAAGGATTCCAAGGTGTTATCCTCCTTTGCCAGGAAAGTGCGCGCCCCTTCGGCACAAACTTCCTCAGCCTCCAACAGCATGCCGTCCTGGCTTTGTCGGCTGCCGCTTGAAGTCCCCGATCACCTTTCGAATAACCCTTGGAACATTGCAAAGACTGCGTGAAAAAACCATTGTTGACTGCATTTACTGTTGTGTCTATTCTATTTACTGCCTAGTCTCATCAACCTTCCTATAGCCAGCGGTGGGCCTTTTCCAGGACTTGTTTCAAGCCGCCGAACCAGATGTGGGGTTCCGTGTCCACATTCGGATCGCCGACAAAGCAGTTTCCGACCGCCAGGATACTCCGGTCGAGGCTGTTGAGGTAAGCGGGTGTGTAGGGCTTGTAGGAGTTGGTCTTCTTCACGTAGCGGGGTTCTCTAGGAACCAATACAGCCAGGATTTGATGTTGTTCACGTCCAAATACTCCCACACGGAGCTGAGTTGGTCGCCTTCGTTGTCATCGTCCAGGTACTGAACCAGACCGAGGAAGCGGTCAAAGTATTTCTCGGCCACGTCATCCGACAAACTTGTGTCATGAAGAGGAACGGGGCCGCCGTCCCAACCACCCTCTGCGAACCAGGCACCGTCCTTCGTGCTTCTAAGTACGAAGCTTGCATGTACCACTTAAAAAGCTCGTGAAATATTGCAGAAACTTATGCTTGTGAAAACTTAATGATAATGATTTGCAATTAATTTTGCTTCTACATAGTTATTGCAGAGAATATTTCGCTATATTGCAGAAATTCAACCCTCTATCTTAACATCCTCAACTTCGAACAGACACGCGATTTTCTTCCCGAGCGATCGCCGAACTTTAGGCTCGACTGCACAGAGCATGGTGTAGTGCGACAGTGCTGGGAGAAGTCCAAGTCAAGGTTGAAGGTTCAGGGTTTAGGATTAAGGTCCGAACAAGGGTTCATCACTGTCGGGCTTCTGTGTCGAGGGTCTTGGGCGCGTATGTCCCTTCGGACTTTTTTAAAACTTCACATTCGGAGTTACTTGCTGCAATATAGCCGTTCATGGATGTTGTACTGGCATCAATAGTCAGTTGAAGCCCCCAAGGACTATTACACGAATCTGCTACCTAGTTAAAAAGGTTTGTCTGAACTTCCTTGCACCACAACCCTGTTCTATAGGCAACCCTAAACCCTAGTTTTAACGGCAACCCTAAACCCTAGACCCCAAATGGGGAGTTCTCTAAATTAGGGTCCCTTTTGGGGTTCCTTCTATCAGGGTGCCGCACTATATTGGGGACCTCAAATCGGATCCCATTTTAAAGAACTACCATAAACCCTAAAACCCTAAACCCTAAAACCCTAAACCCTAAAACCCTAAACCCTAAAACCCTAAACCTATACATGGTGCTCGAATCCCTGAAGAAAGTCTCAGACTGGCAGTTTCCGCTTGGTGGCAGCAGCCCCTCCAAAGGAGGTGGCTTAGGGTTTAGGGCTCTGGGCTGAGGGCTTCGGATCTTGCAAGACTACGAAGGCTCTCTGGGTCTTTTTGGAAGACACTTTGGGGTTTTGAAAAGGGTTTAGGGTTTAGGGCTTTTCTTGGGGGGAAGACACTTTGGGGATTTTAATAGGAGTGCAGGTCTTGGGGGGGAAGGGAGTTTGGGACTTTGGGCTTGGGGCATCGTGTAAGCTTGGGTATTGGCATTAAGGGATCCTGGGGCTTTTGCATGAGTCTAAGGACAAGGATCCTGCCCGGTGTCGGGCTTGGGTAAGGAGTTTCGGATGGGGTTTAGGATTTTCCCTTTTGGGGCTTAAGGTTTGGCGTTTAGGGGCTAGGGTTTAATGTTTAGGCTTTGGGTGATGCGTTCTCGATTCGATGATGCTTGGGGTTTTTGCCTAATCCGCAGCAAGCTGTCGGATTTTACAGCTCAGGGCCTTGGGGTTTGAGATTCTTACAGCGCCCAAAGCGGCAAGCAACCCAGTAGCGTTTGTGTTGCTAGGGTTTCAGGGTCTAGGCGTGCTGTAAGGTCTCGCGCTTCTGGGTTCGGACCCACTGGTTCGGGGTTTCGGGTTTGGCTAACTTCAATCCCTAGCCTGAACTCTGATGTGGTGGTTTCCGAAAAGAGGGGACCCCAATATGGTACCAAATAGTAGGATCCTTATTATAAGGACCCAAGAATGAGGTACCCCTTATTTTCGGAAACTCCCATGCACAGGCCCTAAGAAGCCCTGGATGCTAGACACGGGTTTAAGTCTTCTACGAAAAGGATCAGGGAGCATAGAAAGTAGCTGAGAAATAGGCTGAGGAATGGCGCTTTAGCAGCCCCCCCATATCGAATCAGCCCATATTCTTAAGCTAGTTTACCTGAGGCCTACACCCTTACCCTACTGCAAACAATGCCGGTACCACGATACCATCCCAAAACCCCAAACCTTGAACGTCATAATCTAGGGGCCTTAATAATTAGAATAGGGTTGTCGGGCCCAGTATACCATAATTATACTAAGGAACCCCCCAAAAAAGGATTGGTAACTACTTAGGCCCCCAAAATTACTGCGAAGCGGACCTGTGGGCATCACCAAGGTCTCCTGCTGCATGGCATCCTGGCTCGGTGCGTTGCAGCTTCTGTCTGAATTCTTGAAGTCGTTAGATTTAGGGTTTACGGTTTCTTAATTCTTAAGGTTCTTAGAAGGGTTATGGAGGGCTTTGCACACTTTGGAGACGGAATTCTTAGGCCTTTCGGGCTTTTGAACAGGTTAAGAGAGGGTTTTGGTGGTTCGAAGGATTGTGTTAGGGCGTTAAGACTGCCCGGGTCTAAGAAACAATCTTGGGATTCATGTGGGCTTTGAAAGCACAGATATGCTATACCCTTATAGAGATCCAAAAGTTTGAGGCTCTGAACAAATTGCGCTTTTTGTCTGAAGGAAGACAAGTCATTAGTCAGGGATCTACGTTACTCTCTTTACAAGAATATATCCCAAAACCTTATTCTACTTATCGATGCCCCGGTACTAAGCCCATATTAGAACCCCCCTTAGATTGGATACGAAACCCTAAACCCTAAACCACGGATAGTGTCCAGCGCCTTAACCACCAAGCCTAAGCCCCAAATCCTCGCCCCAAAACGCATACATCCCACAAGCGCCCCACTACATGTGTTAGGGTTTCGGGCTTAATACATATTTGGAGTACCGTTGTGGGGTACATATTCTAGTAGAACTAGACTCTTATACGAAGACCCGAGGGCCCGAATTCTCAAATGCCCCCAAATTGAAGGTTTGAACCCGAAGATCTCAGGAGCTGACGTTTAGGGGTTTAGGGTTTTAGGGCTTAGGGTTTAGGGTTTAGGGCTTAGGGTTCCTACTCGAAGGACTATGGGACTTAGCAGCTATAGCAGCTCGGGTTATCAGTAAGGCAACCATAAGTCTCATTACATGCAACCCCAATTGAGGTACTTATAACCTTACTCACTAAATCCCATGATCCTCCAAGTAAACCTCTAGACCCCAAGGTCCTTAGCCAACAAACCCTAAACACCTAAGCCCCAAACCAGAGTTTTGGGGTAGATTCTACCATAGTTATAGTAAGGGAACCCCCAAAATGATATAGGTATCTTCTGGGGTAGATTCTATCATAATTATAGTAAGGGAACCCCCAAAATAATATAGGTATCCCCTAAACCCTAAACCCTAAACCCTACCCCCAAAATAATATAGGTATCCCCTAAACCCTAAACCCTAAACCCTAAACCCTAAACCCTACTTAAAGCCCCTAAAGTTGAACCCCTGAAACCCGGAGTCCCAAGGCTCAGGTTCGGGCTCGGGCGGTCCAACCCATCTATTAGGGTCCAAGAAGTCCAAGAATAGAGGGTTTAGGGTTTAGGGTATAGGGTTTAGGGTATAGGGTTTAGGGTTTAGGGATAAGAAAAAACAGGGCGCTCATGTCTCCCCCCGAAAAGGAACAAAGGGGCGGGCTTATCTAGGCTATCCAAGGTTTAGGGCTTTAGGATTTTAAATGAGTTTAGTAGGAAGATATGCTTTCTGTTAAGGGTTCTATTTTGCTGTCCTTGAAGGAGGGCAAGGTGCTTTGAAAGGACGGGCCCATTTGGAGAATGCACAGTCAGCTAACAAGATCCTGCCCAAAAAATAATCTACAGACGGGCTAGCATGATATACATGCGGTAATAACTCGAATAAGAGCTGGTTTTTGGTATCGTTGAGATAAGAACCCGAGGGAGGGGTATGTTTAAGAAAACCAGGGAATAGTACTAATGCGAATGCGAATTCTGTATATAGAAATAATGATTGGAATATGGCTTGAGGGTTCAAAAAAGTCTTGGGGTATACAGTAGTATGATCGCATAGGAACTTGCTGCGGATAGTTTTACAAATTAGACCTCCGTGGTAGCTGTGAGGCAGGTGCTTTGAACAAGTACCCTAAACCCAAACCCCTAAACCCTAAACCCTGAACCCCCGAACCCTAAACCCTCAAACCTAAACCCCTAAACCCTAAACCCGTAAACCCTAAACCCAAAAACCAAATCCCCTAAACCCTGAACCCTAAACCCCTAGACCCACAACCCTAAACCCCTAAACCCAAAACCCTAAACAAACGTCTATTCAAAGTTGGTTGCAGCTAGGAGCTGCCGTCAAGATCCGCCCCTCGTCATCGAGCTCACGCCACAAACACCGCAAATGAGCATTCTTAGGGCTTAGGGTTTAGGGTTTAGGGGTTTTGGGTTTAGGGTTTTGGGGTTTTGGGTTTAGGGTTTTGGGTTTAGGGCTTAGGTTTAAGGTTTAGGGTTTAGGGCTTAGCGTTTAGGGACATTATACCGGTGGAAATGCCTCAAAGCGAATCCCACCGCCAATGCCAAGCCTCGCTCCTCCCACGTGCCCCTGGCCAGGAGGATTTTCAGCGACTGCTCCTTGATACTTAGGGTTTAGGGTTTAGGGTTTAGGGACTTACACGGTCAACTTGACCTCTGGGAAACACGCTTGGGATATCGATGAGAGAAATTGCGATCCATCCCTTGGGCAGGATTAGTCTCCTGTCATCCGAGTCTGGTGCATCAGTGTGGACTACGAGACATCCGAAATCACGAAGCTGATGGTAGCTCCACACCGCCGCTGGATCGCACGCCGCGTCGTGCAGCATGTTCTTCGACAACGTTGCTCTCCGGGCGCTCTCATCATCAGGAGGCCCAAGCTGCGGAACACCGCAGATCGGATAACAATGTGGGGCCAAGGCTCTCTCTTGACCGATGCGTACGCGGTGAGCTTTCTGTTGACAACATTCCTAAACCCTAAACCCTAAACCCTAAACCCTAAACCCTAACACATCGTCCACATCCTCGAGCACATCGCATAGACACGGTGGTGGATTTGGCAAGATTCTTTTTAAACGGCCACGACTATGGGGCTCAGGGCTTAAAGGTGCTGGCTTTTGGAACTAAAGCCTAGGCTGTTCAGGGGCTTTACGGCATTCGGGTTCAAGCTTCAACTTAAAAGTTAGGGTTAAGTTTCAGGCTCTAAAGTGACACTCCTGAAGTGCACCCTGCTTGAAAATAACCACCCGAAGGCCTGAACCCTGCGTCGCAGCTGGCTCGAAAAAAGTGCTCGGAAACGGGAAGGGTTATGCCACATATGTAACGCAGAACCCTAAGGCATACTAGTACTAATTCTTTAAGCCACATCTTATGCAGGGCCTGGGGTTGCAGGGTTCACTCACACTCAGTCTGCCTGGAGTTTGCTGAAGAAGTCGTGGACCACGCCGGTCAGACTGATCCTTGCAACAACAAAGACTCCGCTACCTCCGAATTAAAAGGGACATGAACTTAAATCATAGCAGGCTCCAGGACAAGGGACTCTTAAGAACGGAGCGTCGCTCAAAGTCTAGTAAGGACAGGGTTTAGGGGTTAGGGTCTAGGGTAGTAAGGACCCTTCATACGGCCGGAGGAATCCAACTATACCCTTCATGCTGGGCAAATGCCTTACGCCATGCATAAACCTTACAGTACCTTAAACCCTAACCCCCCAGGATCGACCCTTCTGAGCACCGAAAAGTATGCAAAAATGTGTGTTGCAAAAACCCAGGCCCCATGACAGTCCCTTCTGTAAATCCGAAACCCTAAACCCTGGCCCCAACCCCTCGATCTGACCCTCAAACGGAATAATCGATTCTGTAGGGTTTTATGGAGTTCTAGGGGGGGTAAACCGGGACCTGAAGCTAGCCCGAAAATCAGAAAGCCACTCTTCCTAGAAGTCTCTATGCTTAGGGGTTAAGGGGTTTAGGGGTGTTTTTGGGTTTAGGGTTTCTCGTCTCGCATAATACACTCTAACTGCCTCAATGCTTAGAGTATCTGAGAATTCGGGTTTGGCGCGCGGTTTACGACTTTACGACAGTCATTTCAATACTAATAAAACCCAAGGAATAGTTTTCTCCAAACCCTAAACCCTTTCAGCGGGTCTGGGTCCTTTGCAACTTGCAACTTTCCCATGGGACTTAGTAAGTAAGGTTGTAAGTACTAGGGTTCTACAGTAGAGGATCATGGGACTTAGTAAGTAAGATTATATGTACCTCAATTGGGGTATTTAATATAAGTAAGCATAAGCATAGATACCTTACTTATACCTCTTGCGGAGTCCCATGATCCTTTAAGCATGGGAGCCTCAATGATTTCTTGTTGAGGTATCGCTGAGCTACAGGAATCTGGGTAGTTCTCGAAATCAGGGTCCCATTTAAGTCCCCATAAGGGTACGGCACGCAAAGAAAAAGAACCCTTAAAGAGACATTCATTTAGGGAACTACCCGTCTACGCCTGTGCAAGTCCAACTGCCGCCAAAGAGCACGCGAGCACGGAGGTCGTAGAAGGGCTGGCAGGAAAGCACCTCCGAGGAACCCATAGGGTCCGAGTACTATAGGGGCCTTTGCCATAGTCAGATTAGGATTTGAATAAGGTTTCGGGGTATATGCATCTACTTTTGAATAAAGGAACCTGGGAAATAGTAGAACTCATTGTGCAGGCTCCGTTGTAGCCGGGATTCAGGTACGAAAGACCATTCCGCAACCCAAACAATACAATTTTGGCAAACATTACTGATTTGCACCCACACATACAGACCCACACACACAGTCGAACGAGGCTTTCTGCAGATAAAACGATGAGGCGACCTGTGCTCATCTCCCGGAAAAAACGGCTTGGGCTTCCAGAGTGTGTTCGCTTTAGGGTTTAGGGTTTAGGGCATGTTGTGAACTTACTTCAACGATCTAGCGACGGGGAAGTCGGCTATGCTGCGGATTCTAAGTGCCCGAAATGTGGTTCCCTTAATGCGAAACTGGTATTGTGTGAACCCTAAGCCATGGACACTTAAGGCTAATATAGCGAACAGGGTTTTGGGCATAGGGAATCTCAGCCGTAAACCCTCCTACGCAGGCTTCTATATTACCTCACAGCGCAGTTCTCCAAAGAGGGTTCCCCCAAAAAGGTATCCCAAAAGAGAGTACGGCACTTATACCCCAAACCCTAAACCCTGAACCCTAAACCCTATAGAATATGGATACCAAGAGCGGCCTGACTTTTCTTGGGACCTTAATTGTTGGAGTGGGGCTTAGGGGGGTATGTAGACCCTGCTATAATGTACATACGGACTCGACAGACGGATGACTGCAAAAGTGTTGTCAGAAGTCTATAACACAGAGATCTGCAAAATTACTAATAGTATGTTGGGGTTCCTGATTAAGTAAAGTCCAATATACACCAAACCTTAATCTAATCATGAAGGCCCCTACATTATACGAGAACACCCGCAAAGACACAGTCTGTGGAAATCTCCAAGTCTCGGTTGTAACGGCACCGACAGAAAGCCCTAGACCCCTAACTCCCAGCATAAAGCCCTACATACCGATACCCAGCCCAAGAAACCCATCTCAGCTTCGAAGCTGGGAACAAATTTCGCTGCTCCTCTGCTGACTCATTTCTATCAGCCCCAAAACCTTAAACCCTCAACCCTAAAATCACCAGGGAACGTTGCCCGGGGTCTGTCCTGGGCCAATACTGTAACCAGAGTCCAATGGCTGAGAACACAAACAAAACGATGCTCGATCCTCCTCTCTAGGGTTTTGGGCTTTAGGGTTTTGGGGTTTGTGATGTAGGATTTATGGGTTTTCGGCGAAGTTCTAGGGTTGTAGAGTTCGTGATGTAGGGTGTAGGGCTTGTCATTGACGCCAATAATCATCTCCCGGGTGAAACCCTGTACAACCTCCATAAGAACTCCAGGTGCCCTATTTGGAGGTTCCTACAAACGAAACTATAAGCCACCAAGGGAAGCAAGAACAAGCAAGCAGCACCCGGAAGCCGTATCTTGTAGGTCCGAAACCCACCTCCGTGAGCAAGTAAGACTCCCAGCGGGTGTTTTCCTGCGCCACATCCGTGTGTGTAATGTTGGGCGTTACATCAATACAATGTAGTATATTCATATACGGGAGAATAAGGTGATACGGGTAGGCGCTAAGCATTCCGACGCTATCTTGAATGTGTGGGGCTTACAGGCTTCATGGCTGCTGCTTCTCTTAGGATGTCTATGCTCCGTCTGAAGCACCGAGGCCACTAGTAGGGTACTGACACCCACAATTATTGTACAACCTATAAGCCCTAAACCCTGAAGGTTCTAAACCCTAAACCCCAAACCCTAAAGGCCCTAAACCCTAAACCCTAAACCAAACTGATAAAATTCCAGACTCTCAGGCTCCTAATCGGCGAATCTTAAACCCTAAACCCTAACTCGCTGTGGTATCCCTTTTGCGATTCCGGTTCTTCATACATCTTAAACACCCCCCTCATCTGCCTTTTCCGATTCTTCATCAAATTTAAACACGCCAAACCCCCCGCCCTCCTCTCCCCTCCATCTGACGCTGAACCAAAAACCCCTAAACCCGTGACCCCAAACCCTGAATCCAAATCTCTGTCCAGGATGTCGCAGAGTCTTTCCAGGGTGCCTTCCAGCTGCGCCTGACAGACCGCAACCCTCAGCAGGCCTAGAAACAGGGGCGTTTCCGAAAATTAGGGGTACCTTATTTTGGGGGGTCCTTATAATAAGGACCCTACTATTTGGGGTACTAACATAGGGTCACCTCTTTTCGAAACCGAAAGGGCCTGAATCGTTAGAATTGGGTTTTGGGGCACGGTATAATATACACAGATTGAACGGTACACATCCCTACGGAATAATGTTGGAACTCAGTCTGACTTCTTCAACAACTTGCAGGGCTGGTGCTTCAGGATCGAGGGAAACAATACAACCGAAAAGCCCCGAGTCTACTGTCGAAGGCTCAGTGTTGAGGGTTAGGGTCCATGGACTAGGCCCGGCATGAGTGAAAGAGATTAGGGTTTAGGGTTTAGGGGTCTGCAACATAAGTCACTTTACCACGCCCCTGATCCCAAAGAACACCCCGATATAGAACCACAAGCAGATATAGATATAGTAATGGAGAGAAGCAGAACAATTTTCCTTGTGGTGCCAGTAGCTCCCAAGTTGTTGGCAGCACGCTGGGTCAGTATTTGTATTCTTTTCGGGGCCCTAAGCCCGAACCTAACCCTAAACCCAAAACCCTAAACCCTAAACCCTAAACCCTAAACCCTAAACTCTAAACTCTAAACCCTAAACCCTAAACCCTAAACCCTAAACCCTAAACCCTAAACCCTAAACCCTTGTTGGGATGA